GGGGGGGGGGGGGGGGGGGGGGGGGGGGGGTTATCTGAGACACATTTCACATTAGCTTGCTTGTGGAGGTCAAACGACATAGCAACACAAATGGAGAGCTGGAATCGCCAATTTCTTTTTGAACATAAATATATATTGTTTATCTATCAAGAACCACCAACATTTGATGCTTTAAATTGAATAACTTTTGGTTTTGTACTGCTGGTCGAACATAATAAAGGGCGTGACGAAAACTGTGATAGACGATTCTTTTTACCTTTTTTTAGACATTTTACAGATTTAACAATTAATCCAAAAAAGAACCAACAGATGAGTTAATAGTGTTGATCGTTAGCTGCAGGTCTAAACCTCAGAGTACACATATTTCTCTTTGTTTACTGTTAACTGAAGAAGCTCTTGATTGGCATTGTTGAATCGAAGCAGGTGGCGATGTACATGATCAAACAAGCTGCTCACAGTGTGAAAACATGGTCGAAGGGAAAGACGATCAGACAGAACTCCTGCCTGATAGAACAATAATGAGGTAATAAAAAGGTGTTCTACTGATGGTTTCTAATAAATACACACGGAAAACTAGAAAAAAAAGAAAAGAGTTTCCTGCATTTAGGACTTCTCATAATAAGAAAGATTAAAGATGGCCACTGCTCCTGAGCATCTGTTTGGATACAGAGTGCCGGGAATCTGCACATACAAACACACGCATGCACGCAGAGCTTTTCAGCTGAGCACAAAGTGGTTCTCACATCATACGACATCGGAGGAGTTGGTGGGTGGAATGTTGACCTTGCATTACTATCCCTCTAAACCTGCTGCGCACGGTGAAGCTGCTCCGTTACAAAACGAAACGACGCAGTACACAGGAAAGCCCTATTCCACCGAAGTAGCGTCAGACGGCCATGACGTTGAGCTAATGTGAGCGATGAGTTAGGCAGTTGCATTTACAGAACGGTCGCTGTAACGTCCTAAAATCTGACTATTGAGGTCTGAGCTGTGTGCAAAAAAGAAAGAAAATAAAAGAAAAATGTAAAAACTCTCTCCACAGATTTCCACGACACAAGGAAGGAAAAGAGAAAAACAATGAACCGAGAGCAAAGATTCAAACCGGAGTAGTTCAATCGGGGACCGTGGAGCTGGAGTAGAGGCGTGGATACAAATCAATAAATGTCCCCCGATGACAATACTTCCTGTGTGACTTCAGTCCTTACGGTCCAGACTGTGGGCATAGTGTGTCAGATACCTGCTTCTTGCATGATATTCAGATCATACGTGTTGTGGCAATGGCGGGCTTTTAGTTTCCTTTTATCTAACGTCCTGCTGAAGTGTGTGCTCTGAGCAGCACGTGTGTTATCGCTGAGAGACACAGTGTCTGACTGAGCAACAGTAGTCAACAGAAAACTGTCTGTGTGGTTAAGCCAGTGGAGTGAAGTCTTCATCAGGGAAGGTGGAGGGAGAGGATGGGTTGAATCTTTTCTTTGCGACTCAACCAATCCCGTTTTGTCATGACGGCTTTTAAATGAATCATCCATCGCATCTTTGTTAGGAACGTCTATTCCTAAAGCCTCTACGTAAATGTCATTATATAGGACCAACATCCAAAGAGCGCGTCTTTTTCTCTTTGCTGTGACGACGAGTCCAAAAGGTCTTGTCGTCACAGCAACGAACACGGTTTAAGGTATCACTATGCTTCTCTTTTTTTTTTTTTAATACAATGGTTACAAACATACATACTGTCTGACACGTTTCCTTGAAAGTATTGTACATACATGAGAATTAAAAAAAAGAAAAGAATAGAAAGCAAGAGAAGATGGCCAAATAGCTCCCTGGACACCACGAGAGAAAGCAAAGCAATCAAACACATTTTCTTTTTCTTCTTGCCTTCAGAGAGCAGCGTTGCTTCTCGCAGCGCTGAATGGGACGCCGAAGGATGAGCGCAGCTGCGAGCTATGTTTCATAATCAATTGCTTTAAAATTTTCTTTTCACAGTTCAGAAGATGGAATAACTTCCTCCTCCACCGCAACACGTAGCGCTATTACGATATCATGATGCCAAAAACAATCTCCCATGAACTGACATTATTAGGATTTAAAAATTATTTTAAAAAAAGTCCTGCTGTTCTGAGTAATTACACCATTTCTTTTTCTTTTTAAAAAGGAAAGCAGTTACAAGAGAAGAGAGTGAGCTCATCGCCAAGTCTTTGTCCTTCTGTACTGTACAACACTACCCGCCTGCATGATGCACATGGCAAACAACACTGATAGGCCGAGAGATAGCATGAA